TAAACAAGAGCTGTGATGGCACTTCAATATCACCTTTTCTTAAGATTTTATGTGAAATTTCTTCAGGATCATGTTCTACCGAAAGATCCCATATGGATATCTGGTCGTCCGATCCAGAAGCTGCTAAAACTGATTCTTCTATAGGGTTCCATTCAATCGAGGTGATCGGCGCTGAGTGCCACTTAAATGTTGCAACTGGTGTAGGTTTTGTACTTTTGCTGTTGTATTTACAATTACAATAATGTTATTTACATTCCATATGTGTTAAATTACGACATACGCACTTTGAGAATGTCCGTAGGTCCCATATACTAATCACACCATCATCTGATCCAGAAGCAAGTAAATAATCGACTTTCCTTTGGAATTCGTGTAGGAAAACATTAGTTTGCACAACTTTTTTGGTAATATACCAGTCAAACCTCTCTATAATCACACACTATATAGTCACGTTTACTTATAATCACACTACTTTTTAAACCCAATTTATATGAAACATATAAATTTCTCAAGCACCTCATTCAATGGATCGGAGGCAAAATTTTAATTAGTCGGAAATTAGATAAATTAGTCAAGGAGGTTACCACTTCGATGAAAAAATTCTGGAGATGCAGACCATCTTTTTTTTTCATAGAGTTGCTCTGATTGGTTAAAATTCAAAATCCGCATTTCGCACAATGAAATTTTAGCAAGTCGTCCTTCGGTTTACTACATTAACCACTCAATTGATCGCAATGATTTGAGCAACATCCCTATCACTAGCTAATCACATTGAGGGAGCTGCTTGAGAACACCCTTAGCCTCTATATAAGCACAATTCTTTATAAACGCAGAATTTCTTGAAACCAAGTATGTAATTATAGAGAAGTTAGACTGTATATATGTTGTAAGTGGGAATAGAATTTAAGTGGATTTGGAATTTCCTAGTTAAATTAGTGTTAGGGTGTACATATGATAAAATCAACCCCAAAAACGGGGGTTTTATATATAAATTCCGAAGCCACTTAAATTCCGTTTCCACTTACAACATATATATATAAATATTTACAATTTATGCAAACCTATTCCAAGTAATCACATTCACATCCGCTTCGTGAGCTTTGACACTCAATGCTGCCTTCTTTTTACTTCTAATGTCCCATATACATATTGTTTGGTCTGCAGACGCGCTTGCGAACACACTCTTTTCTACCGGCGACCATTGCAAGTCTTCCACGGAAGAACATGATCCTGAAGAAATTTCACATAAAATCTTAAGAAAAGGTGATATTGAAGTGCCATCACAGCTCTTGTTTA